ATAGTTATAGTCTCCCTTAAATAAGCCAATTTAGAACCCCAAAACCCCAAAACCCCATGATCAAATCATTTGCTAAATTCTTGAAGATTAAGAATTAATTAAAAAATGGGTAATTGCTGCACAACTAGAGATAGAGAAATAAGCCTAGATGCTTATGGCAAAGACTATTATTACGAAACTGGACAAAAAGGCTTTAAGACCGAGGTATCGAAATCATTACTATACATATCATAATACCTTGACTCAAGTAAGTTAGAAAATCAATTCACTTTGTATTTCCTAATGCTAAACTTACAAAAATGTAGATAGAGACGCATAAATGATCGTGTTAAGCTACCAAAAGAATGAAATGAAGAACTTTTTGCAAAGTCTATCTTCGATCATCACAATCATTAAATCAAAGACAGGATAGCTGTTTATACCAACAGTTATTTAAAACAGTCCCATCAATATCAACAACGAAATGCTCATTACATTGAGATCAATTGAGAAAATGGACAAAATTTCAATAGACAGAGAAGCTATAATAGATGATAGTATGCTAGCTAGATCATTTATAACAAGAGATATGCAGTTTTTGACATCTGAGCCAGAAAAATAAAGAGATCAACTACTCAATGATCTGAGGTAAACTATATTATAATAAGATTCTAACTAGGAATATGTATAACTAAGAGGGACTGATGATTGTAGGTGGAGTTTAAGACCCTGGAATGGTGAACAATCTCAAGATGTTATTCTATAAGACATAAAACTTCAAAAACACTGATTAGTCCACTTATCAATCCTACGACATTAAAATTCATGTTTACCCAGATACGACTACTTAATAAGAGTTTCAAATCATAGTCAACTAAGCTTAGGTTGAATCAAATTCATAGCTGAGATCAGTTATTTCATATGAAGACGCCAAGAAAGGTCGCTCACATTTTCTGATATTCCAAGAGTACCAGGCTGATCTCATATACCTCATTACTGATTACCCAGATTATCTCCATGAAGAATACTAGCAAGTATTGAGAGATGCTATTTTGGGAGCTAAAACTCCAAATGATTTAGTGTTAAAGTAGCAGTATTCTGAAAAGATGTCTACCTACATGAATGTTTAAGAAAAGAGGAGCGGTAATAGAGTAGTTGAATGCATTACAAACAATAGTTTAGCTGATTCGTTCATCATTTATGCATAATGAAAATTTAATGAGAAATAAACATGCTACATTGTCTGTAATGAATCAAAGGTGTAGATAATTACTCCAAAAACATTACACTTAAAACTATATATAGACGCTGGACTATTTGTGAGATATAGATAGATATTTTTTAATTTTATTTTATTTAACAGTCAGAAAAGCAGATCATTCGTAAATTTTTCTAATGGGGTTTTGGGGTTTTGGGA